TTTTTTTTTTGAGCATCTCTTTTTCAAAACACCTCATTGTCACCGGTGAGGTCTGTGGAACAGATGATGTCCAACCACTCGTCCACTCGAGGACAACTTGCGTGCGGCCGTAAGGGTATTTTTCGTTGATGATTTTAAGCCTTGGTCTTCACGGTTCTGGAGGAAAACGTGCACACTACTTCCTCAAAAAAGGGATTTCCATCAGACATTTTTTGACTGCGAGATAGTTTGTTAATTTGAGGCCAAGATGATTGAAATCTCCTCAAACACGATGTCCCACAGCTTTCTTTATCCAGTATAAAAACAGCTTATGAGACTTTAATTAAAAAAATAAGCCTTTTTCGGGGTTATTCAGATCAAAGTGCAAAAAAAAAAAGGGCCAGCTTTGGTCAAACGCACATAACCAGAAATAAAATGCTCGTTGTAAAATCCTTTGTTGAGGATCCTCTGCAGGAAATGACAGCCCACACAACATCACTGACTGGCTTTTCTTCTTTGTGATGTCCTGCCAGGTTTGTACTGCAGCTGTCCTAAGATGTCCCACCCCCCCCCACCCCCCTCCTCCCATGTTTGTGGGTATTTCTGCCTTTATTTATATTTGTCCTCTGCAACTGAAATGCTGCGCGACTGGTTTTGAAATCAGGTCATCACAGAATACTCCACCACTTTAGTCTCAAGAGCTCTGGGGTGTGTTTTGTGCTACTGTCTGTTTGTGCTGACCAGATGTCGGCAAACACCACAATCCGTCCAGCTACCTCTGTCCTCTGTCTCGTAAAATAACTACTGATAAAATAATCCAAAATGAAAATGAAGTATTGCTTACGGAGCGCTTTCCTTAACAAATACAACCCAACAACAACAATGAAATGTGCGACACAGGTGTCCATCAAAGGTTTTCTTAAGATAACCGTAAGAAACTTCAAAGGGGAGAGGTTTTGGCGGGAAAAGGGCTCATAAGAAGGAACATACCAGGCTAGTTAGCCAAAGTCATATTTTGGAATATCCATCCATTATTGCATTATTATTCCCTGATGGGGTTGCGGGGGGAACTGGAGCCTATCCCAGTGGTCAACCGGCGAGAGGGAGGGTAGACCCTGGACAGTCCATCGCAGGGCCACACACAGGACATACAAGGACAAACAACCACTCACACTCACTCCTAAGGGCAATTTGGAATGTCCAATCAACCTAACGTGCAGGTTTTTGGACTGTGGGAGGAAGCCGGAGAGAACCCACGCAGAGACAGGGAGAACATGCAAACTCCACCCAGAAAGGTCCTGGTTCCCCCGGGACTCGAACCCAGAAACTTCTTGCTGGGAGGCGACGGTGCTAACCACCACACCACCGTGCCGCCATTATCTTTACAAACCTCTGAAACATGAATCGTTTAGAGGTTTCCCGCGTCCACGGCTCTGGACAAACGTCATCTTTCCTCTCTGATGAAGCCGCGTTGCAGCAGGTTAAAAAAGGTCTCCCTACATCTGTTTCCTGCCTCAGAGTGATGGATGGATTCACCACCGTGCCTTATTTCAGAATAAGTGAGTTGGATTTCCGGAGGAACTGGTCAGCAGCTGCCAGGACAAGAACCAGCGCCACCGGACGGGCTAAGCTTTGACTCCTCGCCATTCAACTGACGGCCATTTCCGTCCACTTAAAACAAACGGGCCCGAAACAGGCGGAAAGTCACCTGAGCTCTCGAGGACTGATGATTTAGTTAATGTGAGTGTAAGAGGCTCAGACCTGAATCCCGCATTCCAACCAAGGACTTGAAACAATTCAGGAGAATGTTGTGATTGATGGTATGTAAAGTGCCCTTAAACATAACGGGACTTGAGTCGAGCGGTCTCGAGAGCTGATAAGTTCTCTAAAAACCATAATGGAAGCTCTTTGAAACACTTTACCAAGGACAGCAGCGCTGTTGGAAGCCACGGCCATGTGTGATATCACAGCGCCTTCCATGAGGGTTCAAAAAGAGACGTCCCTCCCAAAACTCCCACCTGAACGCCCCTACTTCCTACCTGACTTTGGTTTGTACCTGAGAGGAGGGCTCCTGCTAAAGAACTCAGCTTTAACTCATTATTGATTTGCTAATTTTCAGTTATACTCCCATTTATTGTATTATAACCCTTTTCAAAGCCAATCTTTAGCATTGTACATCCACATATTGTAGTACTGATATATATCTCATATATGGCAGAAATATAAAAGCAGACATTTGTTTGTTTTGTTTGAATGATGAAGATTTATTTAATGTATTGTCTTGTAGAAATTGGACTACTCATTTTAGAGAAAAGTTTGCCTAGACTAAGTAAAAGTTTAGTTTGTATGCCTCCTCCTCGTCTCAAATCTGATTGGCTGAGGACTTTGGCGGTATCTCCATGCCTTCCAGCGAGGGTTATGGACTAGGAATCCTTCTATTCAAGTTCACACCTTGTTAAACAGTCTTGCCTCAGCTTTTTGCTGTCGTGGGTTCATTTTGTTCTTGCTGCTGAACAATGCAATCGAAAAAAAAAAAAGATTAAAAAGCCTTCTTGTAGCTGTAAGATGACACTGAAAAAGAGATCTCTTTGATGCAGACATCTGGGATGGGCTGTCATGTCCTATGCGCACTTGGAATCACCTTATTACCACGTCAGTCACATATGGAGAAAACTTGAAAACTTCTAAGTTATTTCCTCTTTTTTTCTCAGCTCTCCAAATAAAGCATGGGTGATATATGGACGAGCTTTAATTGGACGACAGAGGGCGCTCGTAAGCAAGGATAAAAAACCCAGAGCTGGCTTTCGTTCTGTCCGTCTGAGAGGTGCAGTTACTGAGACTGGCTGCCTCCTCTCTCCCGGAGCCTCACTCCTTCACTCACTCATTACGCTCACTCGCTGTATAATTCCACACGCACAAACACACCGTCCCTATAGCCATAAGAAGCAGAGATCTGCTCTAAACTGCGGAAATCCTCCAGCAGAAGCATTTCCAAAAAACCTTTCTTTCGTTCTTTTGCAGTAAACACATCGGTGCAAATGCTTATACGTGGAGCAGATTCCATTTAGCAGTAATATATATATATTTATATTACGAATGCGTAAAATCATGCATTCCAAAGCCCTTCCCGGCGTCCGAGGGGGGGTTTAAGAGCGGTTATGATATGAAGGTGTCCATACAAAATGCACTCGACACGAGCACTTGAATGACAACAGTTGTAGGACGCGCAGCACGCGCGCAGACCTCGCACAAGGAAGTGGGGTTTTTTGCGCAGTGGCCGAATGACAAACCCCCATCTCGCCAAGATCGTGCGTGTGGCCGTGCACGCCGAGGGAAGGGAAGGGAAGGGGAAGGAGGGGGGGTATTGGAGTGTTTTATTCCTCTTTATGCAAATAGATTCACAGCCACGGTGTCAGGTTTCCTGGACGCTGAGTGGACCGAGCAGCCCCCGCTGCGCCGGGGAGCTTACGCGCGCGCCCACCGGCGACCACACGCGCTCAGAAACCACAGCAGTGCGCACGCGGCCGGCCGGCCCCCGTCCTGTCCGTCTGCTTGACAGCCATATTAAAAAAAAAACACACACACAACTTACGTTGATCTTGAAAAGTTAAAGGTCTCATTTTTCGATGCCTCTCAGGAGGGATCTTCTTTTTTCTTTTTATTATTTCGGCGTGAATGCACTGGCTAGAACATTCAGACACGAGCTGACGTGAATATATAGCAGCAGATATGGAATAAAACACACATAGAGTGTGTTTTTCTCACGTTATTACGCGCAAAAACGCTCCAAATGAGACAATTCGGTGTCAAGCCACGTCCAGACAAAAAAAAGGGGAAAGAATCAAACAGATGCAGAATTTGTTCTCTCTCTCTCTTTTTTTAATTTCTTCTTTTCTGGAATAGTGTCTGCCGGCCTTTGGACCCCGGCAATTCAGACCAAGTCCAACCCTGTTTACGCGCTCTGCTGGAAGGGAGGGGGCTGGAGAGAGAGAGAGAGGGAGAGAGAGAGAGGGAGAAAGAAAGAGAGAGAGAGAGAGACTGCAATATTATTTGTGAATCCCTCTCGCGGTGCTGCAGATAGGGGCTGCCAACGCACGCGGCGCGTCTGCAGGTGAAAGAGCGCGCGGAGCTGGACACTGTGAGGAATTCAGCCTCCCTTTCCCTAAAAAAAAAAAAAGGGAACAAATCTGCTTTGGATGTACGCTTTTATGTAGAATCTGATCTATTTTTTTTCGTCCAAATGCAACTTTGATTTATTTTTTTGGGGGTTGTAGAGTTGGCTCGCAAAAGGAGAGACAGAAAGAGAGAGAGAGAAAAAGAGAGAGAGAGAACGAGAGAGATTCAGAGAGGCGCTATTCTGCTTGTTGCAAGTGACTGGGAGCAGAATAAGGATCCGGACAGGTGATCTGCCGAATATCGTCGAGCTTGTCCGGCTCCGCGCACAGTCTGACACGCGCGTCGTGGCGTGGAACGAGTTTGGAAACTGCGCGCGCGTGCAGCTTATTCTCTGACATCCGTGGACATAACTTCGGACAGAGGATTAGTAAAAAGAGGAGATTCCACATAAAACCGTGAGTAGATCGGAACGACGTGGGACTGAATTTGACTTTCTGGCTGATGCTTGGACCGTAATTTTTTAAAAAAATTTTGGGCTTTTACGCGCGTGACATTCTGATGTTTGAGTCACCGTCCGGCGCGCGAGAAGACACCCCCGGCGCGAGGCATTTGTTCCTATATCTATCCATGCATTGAGGCACGAGAAAACTGAAGGAAAGTGAAGGAGGGAAGACGGGGGGGAGAGAGGAAAGCCACGCGCGCACTTGCTGCTTTTCCACTGCAGCACGAGCGAGAGGAAGTCGTCCGGAGGATGAAGTCTCACGGATCCCGAAGCAAAGAGCTGTGCTCTTAATAAGAAAAGACATCACCCCTCAGACTATCTATTAGCGATTCATTCTCTGGTACTTTTTTTTTTTTTTTTTTCCCGGGGAGATTTTTTTTTTCTATTTTGCCAAGGCGCAACAATGAGGACTACTGGCGCAGTGGACTGTTTGTACTATTGCCTGCTCATCCTGCAGTTTGTGCATCATCCCGACGCCAAGCAGGTGCTCCGGTACCGCCTGGCCGAGGAGGGACCCGCCGACGTCCGCGTGGGCAACGTGGCCGGGGACCTGGGCATCGTGGCCGTGTCCGGCGAGGTGACGTTCACGCTGGAGTCCGGCTCCGAATTCTTCAAGATAGACAACTTGACAGGTGAGCTCACCACCAACGAGAGGCGGATAGACCGCGAGAAACTGCAGCAGTGCCAAATGATCTTCGACGAGAACGAGTGCTTCATAGATTTCGAGGTGTCCGTCATCGGACCGGCGCAGAGCTGGGTTGACCTCTTCGAGGGGAAAGTCATCATATTAGACATAAACGACAACACCCCGTCGTTCCCGTCCCCCGTCCTCACTCTGTCCGTGGAGGAAAACAGACCCATCGGAACTCTTTATCTGCTGCCCACAGCCACAGACAGAGATTTTGGCAGGAATGGAATAGAGAGATACGAGCTTATTCAGGACAACGGGGAGAACTCCAGGCGCCTGGGGTCTTCCGGAGATCCGTACTCTGGGAAGAGGAGATTTGAGGAGGGGGCGAGCCGGAGCAGCGTCTTTGAACTGCAAGTTGCTGACACCACTGACGGGGAGAAGCAGCCTCAGCTCATCATTAAAGGGGCTCTCGACAGAGAACAGAGAGACTCCTATGAGCTCACGTTGCGTGTCAGGGATGGAGGAGACCCCCCTCGCTCCTCTCAGGCCATTCTGAGGGTTATGATCACTGACGTGAACGACAACAGCCCTCGCTTTGAGAAAGCCGTGTATGAGGCAGACCTGGCAGAGAACAGCTCCCCCGGCGCCCCCATACTGCAGCTCAAAGCGGCCGACGCCGACGTGGGGGTCAACGGCCAGATCGAATATGTGTTCGGAGCAGCCACGGAGTCGGTCAGGAGGCTGCTGAGGTTGGACGAGAGCACGGGCTGGCTGAGCGTGCTGCACCGCATCGACCGCGAGGAGGTGAGCCAGCTGAGGTTCACGGTAATGGCCCGTGACCGAGGCCAGCCGCCCAAAATGGACAAGGCGACGGTGGTGCTGAACATAAAGGACGAGAACGACAACGTCCCCGCCATCGAGATCCGAAAGATCGGGCGCATTTTCCTAAAAGACGGGGTAGCCAACGTGGCCGAGGATGTAGTGGTGGATACACCCATTGCCTTAGTTCAGGTGTCAGACCGTGACCAGGGAGAAAATGGCATCGTTACATGCACAGTGGTAGGTGATGTGCCTTTCCAGCTCAAACCGGCGAGTGAGATGGAGGGAGAGCAGACTAAAAAGAAGTATTTCCTGCACACGTCCGCACCGCTGGACTATGAAGCCACGCAGGAATACAATGTGGTCATAGTGGCCGTGGACTCCGGAAGCCCCAGCCTGGCAAGTAATAACTCGCTCACTGTCAAAGTGGGTGATACTAATGACAACCCTCCTATTTTCAGTCAGAGTGTAGTAGAGGTGTCGTTCCCTGAAAACAATGCCCCTGGCGAGAGGGTGACAACAGTGGCAGCCATTGATGCAGACAGTGGGAAGAATGCTGAAATAGCCTATTCCCTAGACTCATCAGTAAATGGGATTTTCTCTATCGATGCAGACAGTGGAGACATCCGAGTAAACACCATTCTGGATAGGGAGCAAACAGAGCGCTACGAATTTAAAGTGATCGCCAAAGATAAGGGCATAAACACCCTTCAGGGCTCTGCGACCGTGGTTGTCCTCGTGGCCGACAAGAATGACAACGAGCCAAAGTTCATGCAGGATGTGTTCACCTTCTACGTCAAAGAGAACCTAGAACCCAACAGCCCAGTTGGCATGGTTACAGTAATTGATGCTGATAAAGGTCAGAATGCCGAGATGGGTCTATTTATCGAAGAGGAGGAGGACATCTTCTCTATTGAGAATGAGACGGGGACAATTTTCTCCACCTTGTCCTTTGACCGAGAGCAGAAAACCACATACACGTTCCGAGTAAAAGCTGTGGATGGCGGTGACCCTCCCCGATCGGCCACAGCCACAGTTTCGCTATTCGTCATGGACGAAAATGACAACGCACCCACAGTCACTTTCCCGATAAACAGCTCCTACACTCTTCTTCCTCCTTCGAGCAACATCAGAACAGTAGTCAGGACTGTCATAGCCACCGATACAGATACTGGCATCAACGCAGACCTGAACTACAGCATAATTGGGGGCAACCCTTTCAAGCTGTTTGAGATTGATGGAGGCACTGGGGTCATTTCGCTGATGGCAAAGCTGGAGCAGAAGCACTATGGCCTCCACAGACTGGTTGTCCAAGTCAATGATAGTGGACAGCCTTCGCAGAGCACCACTACGCTGGTTCATGTGTATGTTAACGAGACTCTTTCTAATTCCACTATAGTGGAGGCACAGGTGGCTAAGAGCCTGAGCACGTCCCTCAACACCAACATTGCCGGTGACCCCAACTATGATCTAAGCAAGCAACGCTTAAGCATTGTAATTGGAGTAGTTTCGGGCATCATGACTGTCATTCTCATTATTCTGGTTGTTGTCATGGCCCGTTATTGTCGTCCAAAGAATAAGAACGGGTACGAGGCCGGTAAGAAGGATCACGAGGACTTCTTTACACCACAGCAACACGACAAATCCAAAAAGCCCAAGAAAGATAAGAAGAAGCAAAAGTCCAAACAGCCTCTCTACAGTAGCATCGTCACTGTGGAGGCCTCCAAACCCAACGGTCAGCGCTACGACAGCGTTAACGAGAAGCTGTCGGACAGTCCCGGCATGGGACGCTACCGGTCAGTCAACGGCGGACCGGGCAGCCCGGACCTGGCGCGGCACTACAAGTCCAGTTCACCGCTCCCCACGGTCCAGCTTCACCCACAGTCCCCGACAGCTGGAAAAAAGCACCAGGCAGTTCAGGACCTGCCCCCTGCTAATACCTTTGTTGGCACCGGAGATAACATTTCCCTTGGATCTGACCACTGCTCCGAGTACAGCACTCAAACCATCAACAAGTACAACAAACAGGTAAGAAGACACATCTCAATGTTCCTTTGTCTCCCTCCACCATCCTTAAATGTCTTCTGCTTTTTCCTCTTAGTGTTCTTTCCACCATAATGCTTTCTGACAGTACTAGTCTCAGTAGTCTTGTTGCCTTTATGGTGCTAATGTGTGTCAAGTTAGAGGTATTGATCTGTTTTGGTTTGGAGTGCCATTCACATGTAATATTAAAAAAGGGCTCAGATAAGCTTGGGTAGGGATACTGTTACCACTTGACCAAACTTTTTTGACTTTCATCTCAGCATGTCGAAGCTGCCTTTTTCCGTCAGGGGTGTCACAGCTTCTAACCCCTGGCAAATGTGTGTCAGGGAGTTGCAGACAGCTCACATAAGGATTTGGTTTGCAGTTATTTTATCCCAAAGGGGAGCATGGCAGGGGCTGGCCACACTCCCCCCCCCTCGCTGTGTCGAGCCCTGACCTGCCCTGTCTGTGCAAGGCAGCCTTTTTTTTTTTCTTGTGAGAGGAACAGGAAAAGGGCAAAAGCACAGAGAGAAGGTAGATTTAGTGGGACTGATATTTTGTTGCGATTCTGCCTCGTTTGCCAGTCGGTTTTCACGGTATTTACTCGAGAAGGACCACCCAGCAAGGCAATCACAATAAGGCGTGCAGCAATTAATTGACCCAGCAATAAAAACTGGCATTTATATGTCACCTCCCATTGTGTACTCCCTTATCTTTTTGCATGTATACAGATGTCCACCACCCTCAATTCTCCAACCTACAGTTTATAGTTCTGCTATTTTCAAGTTTACGCTTTTCTCCTGTTTTTCTCTTGGTTAGTTGTCTTGCCTGTTTTGCAGCACATTTCAGAAGTCGCAGGGAGCATTTGATTTGATATTATAATAGAGGGATGTGTGATGCTCTACGGATGCCGCCTGTTACTGTGGCAGTTTTTTAGCACTGGCAGGTGCAACAGCAGGGAGATGAAGTCAAAGCTTGATGAAACAAGTTGGTTTCTGTTTCTCGGGGAAAAAGAACAATATCCTTGCACATTAAAGCCTAATGAATTATTGATCTTTCTTTTTGCTTGGTTTCAGCTCCACGCTTTGAACATTCAGGGTTGCTGCTTAGTGCTCTGTCCTTCTCTGTAAATCTGATTTCCTTTTCTGGTATCTCACACATTGTTTGCATTTTTTTAATGTTCAATTTCTCATTCTTTGGGATTTCTTTCTGGACACATGTGCTGCGACTCTACATCCCTTTATCTGGTTTATCTCTCCGTATTCTTTTCTCTCCCTCTTTTTTTCCTCAGCCTCTTCTACATCAAACCCCGTACAATGCCGCTCTCTGCCTTGCCCCTTTTTTTTTCTGGCAGTAGTTTCTTTTTTAATCTCCACTCTCATCTCTCTGTAACCCCACTCCCCTCCCTCTTGCTATTTCTCCTCTCAAATCATTTCAATCCCCTTTTCATGGTTCTCCCTTCTCTTCCCCTGCTCTGTCTGTTACAGCCTCTAATATGGTGTATTCACTGAACTGCTTCCCGGAGTGTGAGGAGTGCTGTTGCTTTCGGATGTCTCCTGCATAATTAAAAGGGCACTCTATTTGCTGCTGCCGCAGCAGCATGTATTGTGTGTCACTATGCTTCTGCTTATATAATTATTTATTTACTCTGTACTTTAATGCCGCGGGAGCCATTATGCGCTGTGCATTTGTTCGAATGAGGTGTCTTGGAATGAAGTCGGCCCGCAATATCTGAGTTTGACTTTACACGAAATTGCAATCGAATGCCAAAGAAAACATGCAGTAATCTACAAAGCAATATCATTCATGTTTACTATACGCTGCAGCTGGTTTGGCATTTACTATACAATAGCCAGCAGGTACTCAATTTGCCTTTTATACCCTCCGGGCTCAGTAAATACAGACTGTTGATACATTCCGCCGGGGTGAATAGGGCAACATTTAATGGCTGCAGAAGAGAGCTAATTGAAGAGAAGGTGTTTGCTCATGTGCTCCAGTTATGGCATTAAACAGCCGGCTCTTTATGAGATTAAGTAGTGAAGCAATCATGCTCCTGATTTTAGGGACATTGGGTCTAAAAATACTCTGTTGTCTGGCGAGAGCCACTTCAGATCAAGACATCATAAAACACTCAAGGACACATTTTTCTTCCCGCACTGTGGCAGATGGAAAAACCATACAAATACTTGAGAATTAACTGCTAATTAAAGTTATAGTGCACTAACGCTAATTCTACAGTGTTTAATGTTTGTGCTTTAAAAATGTTTTGACAGTATATGTCTTCATATCTACAGATCTATAAATAGACACAGATATACATCTGCATCTTTGCATATGTGTGTGTACACGGATAAGATATATGACAAGTTATGATACAGACTATTCCATAGAGAGAGAAAGAGTGTGTGAAGAAATGGAGACGGGTGAAAGAAAGACGTCCCTGTTCGCGGTGTAGAGAATGGCCCCTACTGTTTGGGGCTGGGCGGAAAGATAGAGAGGACAGGGAGGGCCAAAGAGAATAGGGCTGAACATTGTAATCTATAAGGTATCGAATTCCCTCTTTCTCCCTCCTCGCCCACCTGATCTTACAATAACCGTGCGGGCAACCTGCTCGGCAGGTAACCAGGCAACCGGTGGAGCCTATCCGCGAGGCAAGCCTTTCTTTGTGGCCCCGTTAGGCATTTAAACAGTCATTAAGCTTAGCTTAGCGTAAAGGAGCAGCCGTCTGCAGAGGGGCCTGAACTGGACAGACGTCACATTTAATCTCCTCCTGGATCTCCACTTCTGTGCCACCTTTGTTAGCAGTGTTTTTTTCTCTAATTTGACCATGTATATGCAGCATTATTCCTGATCCGTCTGCTCCGTGCATGCCTTGTGTGCAGTCGTTGGATCGGAACGGCTGCTGAGGAGCGTGTTCTCTAAACAGAGCACTTAACTTTATTACTTTTGGCAGAAGTTTTCTGTTCCGACTAGTGCCAGAAAATAATGCAGTCCAAATGTAATGCGGGGAAGAATGAAATCACTTAGCCATCAAATTAGCACAAGCCATCAGCTTTTGTTTTATCATTGCACTTCAAAGGGGCCACTCGTGCCCAGGTGGATCACTTTTAATCAGCAGTGAGCCACGGCAGCTTGTACTCCGTGTTCCCGCCGTGGAGCCCCCCTCGGGGCAGACGGGGCCCCCTGGTCTGCACATTTAGACCGGGTTATTTCGCCTCAGGGCTGATGCGGCGAGCAAAACCAGTACGCTGTCCTTTAGCCAGCTCCCAGTCCTCGATGCCCCGCCCTCGGGCCAGCTGTTCCCGCCGTGCCAAAGTCCTTGTCCACCTGATTTGCATCGGGCAAAGCCTCAACCCAACACACTTCCAACAGCACGGGCAATATCGCCATGTAAACGGAGGCCACTAGTGACGCGTCCGGAGCTTACACATGGGAGACAGATCCAGGAAACCAATATGGAAATGACGCGCTTTGCCTATGGCCTCATTTGTTTTAACCTAACAAATGTAGCTGGCTAAACACCTACAAACAACCACGACTTCAATTGGAAATCACCTCAGTGACGTTCAGCTTTGAGCACCATTAAAAAGTGCAAAAAATGCTAATTTGGGAGTTGAAATTCCTTAAATAGCTTATGTTATTTTGCCTGCGATACCATCTTAGAAGTGAGTCACACGTGTATTTCACAAATTCAACGCTAGCAAAATCACACAAGCTGCTGTTTAGGACAAAGAAAACTCCACATTTTTAAGGCAGCTTAATCTAAATGCATCACGTTTGCCAAAAAGTGGGGAAAAAAAGGCTATCTGGAAATGCTGTATTTAGTATGAAATGAGATGATGTGCAGCAAGCCGGTTGCTTTATTGCCACAATATTATAAGCGCCTGTCCTTGGTACAGCTGACTGTGGCTAACGTTATCAAAATTGTTTTTGATCTATTATGGACTAATTTAATCTATGACTGCTCAGGGTTTTGTTGTTTATGTTCCGAAAGGGAAATGGAAGGAGTAAGAGGGCACAGTAATACTCATGAAATTGCAGCGGGCAGCATTTTCTGGTATAATTTTGTTTTGGTGATTTGAATGCTTCAGCTCCAAGGCAATTACTAATCTAAGGATTAGACGTACCTGATATGCAGGCAGAAATGGAGGCGACTGAGAGGGAAAGTCACAAAGATTGCTATGTCTGGTTACTATAGTGTCTCCTATATTACCCTGCATAATATTCTAATATTGACTTCTGCTTTTCCAGGTCTTTTACCTATAGGGGAAGCATGAAAAATAGTGCTTCCCTGCCTTTTTTTTTTGTCTTCTTGAACTGCTACTTCAACACATCCACATGCAAGCGAGCACAGCTGCCGTCGCATAAAAGTAAATACTCATGATTGAAGAATCTGAAGAAGCCTCAACTTTTCATGATAAGATGGCAAAAGGCAGAGGGAGGTGGGGGGAGCGAAGAAAGAAAAAGACAAGAAATTTAAGCCGCATGCCACCTTGATTGCTCTCCACGCTTCTGATTGTAAGTGGCAGTGTCGAGGATGCCACCTTCTTCTCGCCGCTTCTTTCAATTTGGTGTCATCGAAAATGGAATTTCATTTCACAGTCTGCAGCGATCACATTAGATAGGGCTCACCAGGATAAAGCCGACTCATATTTGCAGATTTGGCTTTCCTGTGGCACTATCAATCACCGTGCGCTCGCCATATTGAAGACTTGTTTTCCACAGCAATTGTTAGGAGGAGTTTGTACTGCAAATTGACTTTTACAAGTCTCCCAAGGTTTATGATATGCTATGCTAGCCTTGTTTTCTCTATAGCTGTCCTCTTATATCGACTCTAGGAGCCAGAACCAACTAAATGAGAACATCACTTAGCTCTGCTGCTGCACGACCCTGGGGAATAGTCCTCTGTCGAGGAGCTGGATCGCAACACGGATCAAACATAAGGCTTGTTGTTTGTGAGACTAATAGGCGAAACAATAGTTGTGCTCGCTGTGACATCGCAGCTCATCAAAATTGCAACAGTGTCTGGCAAAGTGGGGCTCGTAATGATGTTATTTATTTATCTTGTTTTGGCTGTTGTTTGGCGGGAGAGGTCACGGGCCATTTGTTCCTTTGAATCAAACAAGTGGCAGGTGCAAGTTTTCATTGTTTTTTTTTATTTTATTCTTTTAATCCGGTCCACAGTTTGCTTTTTAACATGCTTTTTTCAACAAGTGGCAGGTGCAAGTTTTCATTGTTTTTTTTTTTTTTTTATTCTTTTAATCCGGTCCACAGTTTGCTTTTCAACATGCTTTTAAGTGCATGTTTGGGTGCATTTGCCGTCCTCTCTTCACCTACTCTCATATGGGGGAACTGTAGTGCAGAGGCACATGAATCACTCCCTGTCTGCGTTGCTCGAACAGGTCCGCGGTGTCAAGGGAGCTGCCATCAGGGTCCACCGCACCTGTCAAGCAGCGGCAATTTAAAACCCCATTCAGCATCACCCATGTTGTCACGTGCGGCCTTCGTGATTACACGAAAGAGAGCCTCCATACCCAAACACACCAGTCCAGAACTACTTTGTAAATTAAGTTTAAAGCTATTCGATGCCAAGTTAGTTGCCTAAAGCGGTGATCATTTGCTAGTAGAGGAACAATGTTGGACTTGCAGACTCCGTTGGTGAGCATTCAGCATTCAGCGGAATAATTGGAGTGCGCTTAATATTTACAACCTTCACCTTGGGTTGAGATTCACATTGATTTCTTTCTTTTTTCTTTTTTTTTTTTTTTAAGGCACGAACAGAAAGAGCCCCTGATCTAACTCCTCAGTCATTTTCCACCTTTCAGAGTTAGGCTGTATGTGTGAAGAAAGTGCAAAAAATATTAAGATTCACTGAATTCCAGCCCGAATATGACAAAGAAAAATGGTCTGCAATGAAAGATACATAAGACCGCTTACAGACATTTTAAAAAAAAACTTTTCTTTTTGCTCAAAGGACTAACTGGCTGCTGTCATCCCCCCCTTTCTCGAGCAGCAAAGGACAACGCATATGACTCAAATTGGAGAAGGGAGGAATTGGACAGCTTGACTGCTTCTATTAGCCCTATTTTGGTGCAGCTCCTACCATGTGGCCCCCAAATGAGATTATATGTGTATGAAACAGGAGGTAGAGCACTCACCGGCTATCCATCACGACCGGGGGGGGGGGTTTGTGCATGTGTTCTCGGCGGGTGTGCTCGCTGCGTCGGTGCATGTGCTGATGTGCAAGGGGGGTGATGAAGTGTGTGGGTGTGCAGTGTGAGTCTGTGTGAGCTTTGTGTATCCTGTGAGGGCTGGAGAAGAGAGCAAACGGGGGCCTCCGCAGTTCAGTCTCTCCATCATCCTGCACACCAGGCACACGAGTAGCGACATGCCTGAGAGGGTTTCAATATCCTGTGTGTGTGCGTGTGTGTTTGTGTGCCTGTGCTGCTGTGTTTACCCAAGGAATGCAGTTCATTATATTTGTATGTGTGTGCTCTTATTACATACACTCTCGGCACACATGCGAACCAAAGGCAGATGGAGCCTGAAGGCTAGAGCAATGCTTTACTTTCACCTGTTAAAAACCCACAGCAAACTTGTGTAGTCTGGGGTGGATAATGTGCCTTTTTTCTTGATTTGGAGCTCAAAGTTTGGAGCATTTCCGCGGATCCCGCTGCGACATTCACACGGCGTCTGTATTAAGCTGTGGATGCGTGCAAAACAACAGAAATATTCATTTGCAAGGCGCTGGCGGAGGCAGGAGAGGCTTCTCTATCGACGAGGCCTTACCTGGGAGAGAGCAGGCTATTAGCCAGCCACAATAAATCTTGTCAGGGGGCTGGAAGATTCTGCCTGCCTGCTGAAGAATGAAGGTCATGGGGCAGCTGGAGTTACGATAGGCCTCGCAAGGCGGCTGCTATCAAATCAACTGAAATATGAAGTCCAGTTTTTTCAGAAAATGCTAATATTTCAATTTGCTTCCATTCGCCCTTTTAACACGTCTCTTTATGATGTCCCATGAAATAAAAACAAGACCAAGTTTCTTTTTAAATATTGTAAATCTATGGAATTTTCTGTGTTGTTAATCCCTCAGAGCTCATATGAAGTGATGATGAAGTAAAAGCACTGAGAGACACATTTTACATTGTCAGTGTCTTTAATATTTCAAAATTTAAAGAACTACTTTTACAGTTTGGAAGTTTTATCTCATATGACTGTATATGTTAAAATCATTTTGATCTAAAATAAAAAAAACTATTTTTTTTTCTTTAGAAAGTGTCTTAGAGCCTCAGATCTTGTTGCCATCTGTCCAAAACGCTTCATTTCTCCCTCAGGAAAAGTGCTTCCTTCTCAAATCGCCTTGAATATTTTACAGGTTTACCAAATGTAAATTTCGTTATTGGAGTGCTAAAAAGCACATTTCATCTGTTAACCCAGAAAAATGTCTAATAAATATCTGAATATGACTTTTTGAAGGTAAATCTGTGTTGGATTTTAGTCTCTGAAAGAATAAAGGAGAGGAACAAGGCCTACCAAGCTAAGAGACCTAGTATGAAATCTACAGTGGATCTTATATTATGCTGCCAGAGTCAACAGCACTATATATAATCTTGTACTGGCCATCATATGTTGCCCAGTGCCATGGACTGTCCATGCTGGAAAGTGCAATATATAGTAGCTATGACTGGCTTTTGTCAGACAAATTCTACAGTGGACTGAGGAGTTCCATTTAATATTGTTTCATGTATTGATTTTTAGCAAGTTGGCCGATAGCCTTTTTATTATCTAGCTTTGGTTTCACCTTTTACACTCTTTTTCCTCTCACAGTTTTAGGAAATGGACTTCTCCTAGTTGTTTTCTCCTCCTCTGTTAACAGCAACAGCGTTTCTTGTAACAGCTACAAATAGTCAATCAATCTGGCCAATGGCGAGGAACTGGAGCCGGGAACGAAGGGGGTGAACCTAGGCGCTTGAATAGTAACAGGTTTGGAAATGCGGCTTGGACTCGGTTTGGTGGAGTTATGGAGGGAGACAATCAGGGGTTTGTAATCAAGGCTAAAAGATTGATCTTTGACATGGTTCATTTACTTGGAGTTGTTCTAGTGCAATACTTGGGACACAATAGCCAATTGTAAATTACAGAGTGGATTCAGTGGTGAGAAGTGCCTGGGGGGGTGGGAGGGTGGTGGTGGTGGTGGGGGGGATACGGGGCCTCTGAAGTGGGAAAATAGGGAATGTTGTTACATTTGTCCCTGTTTGGTTCCAGCTTGATGAGGTCTGGGATTGGGGGAAAAGCAAGGGCATCAATCATATTGACATGTCTGGGGGCAGTAAAATGATTAGAATAATTGTAAACAAAGCCGCTTAAACACGAGCGGGTTTTTGGTAGTTTTTTTTTTTCATCGGAACTTTATTTCAAAACCTAAGCTTTTGCTTAATAAGCGTCACTTAACGTCAGCTTCCGCATTTTTAATCTGCCTGTAATGATATGTTAATAACAGTCTTCAGCAGAAGGTGGCACACTGCTGAGAACATAAGTGCATAAAGGAAGCCTATCACACAGTGAAGAGCTCTTATGAACTGGTGACGTGACGGGTGCTCAAGCGACTGCGACAGGCAGTAAAGTGCTTGCACGGTTGACATTTACAAGTGTGTCGTGGAGATCCCCAGCTGGACTGCGAGCGAAGACAGTTACTTTCTGTTTAATCACCATCAAAATTCTGCGGCGGCTGCAGCAAATGTTTGAGTAGCACAGATTACTTTCCCCCGTGAAGCCAATTGCGGGCGATCGTTTGATGTCTAAGCAAATGTGCTTAACATGCATAACCGCTCTTGCCTCCCGTGCCTTCCTCTGCACATTTGAAAGATTTACGTCTGGGGTGTGTGCATGTGTGTGCCTACCCTTTTGAATCTCTTTGAATAAGCTTTTCTTTGCACTGGCAGCCTCTTCTCCCAGTGAATTGGGGGACATGACATGACGATTGGAGACCTTGTAATTTATGTGCAAAATGCCCCGTGCTATCTATGCCAGCGTGACTTTTGTTTGAACAAGGTGGCACATCAGCAAGGGTCCGCCGTTGCTGTTTGAGCCGTATGCTTGTGTTTACTTTGGAATCCTTGGTGGACTATCCATTGTTACTATGGCAATACAAATCTAATTGTTGCCCCTACCCACTGCAGCTTCTCCTATGGCCACATGCCTGGGTTTTTGTTAAGAAAAAGGGTTTCCACTGCTCTCTCAACTTGGTCGTATCCAATAATTCAGGCACCTCATTGCCAAAAGAGGTGATGGCCTCCCCTGAAAAAGTCACGGTCTTCTCACAGCGCTGGCCTGAAGTTGGACGCGGCATGAGAACGTTGTGTTCCGCTAAACTGTTTTGATGAAGCCATCTGGGCAAGCAGGGAGGATTTCAAAAGAAGAAGGTCCCTGAGCACTATGTTGGCAGCGGTTTGCTTTACCACATGGACTCATCTCTTCCCTGTGTCACGGCTCCTTAGGGAACCTTAGGGATTTACCGCCCTTCCCATTTAGGATTCTTGATTTACGAGATCAAATTAGACGGTGAGAGAACATCAGTGGACACACAATGCTTTGCTCTTTCTTTGGCATTACATCCCGGGTGGTGCGCATGCTTCTCCTGCTGCTGGGGTAGCGTTCTTAACATGGCGGAGCATGTCTAATTTTATAGGTCTTCGTTTGGACAGGTGAGTGAAAGCGAACAATGAGCAAATGTAAGCATGTAGAAGGTCTCGGTCACTTTTGTTTGATGTGAAGAGATGCTTTGCAAGGTCAAAGACAGTCATTGATGGGCCTCATTCAGACGTAGTCTTTTCAATCATCCCAAAGTACCAAATAGACATAAATCCCGAAGACAGATGAAACAAGTGTTCAGTATTTCATTCCATATCTGTGAAGCATGATGGATGAATAACAATGAATTCATTCAGACAGATTAAAGGGACCAGTGTCAAGGATCAAAAAGGAAGAATGTTGAATACATAGAGTAAACGCCCGAGGAGTGAGCGGAATGACCAAGTGTGTGAGTGAGACGACTGAAAGGCGGCAAAATGTAAAGCAGCCCATTGCTTTTTAGAGGTTTACGGGAAACTCATCAACGGATTGCTTGGAGCCAGAAGCTAGAATGACAGGAGTGAACTACAAGAGCTGCGCGTTCGAGTCTGCAGGCACGCCTCGCTCTTGTGATTCCCGGCACGCGTGCAGCCAAATGAAATGAGACTCTGCTTATGTGGCGACATGAACGTGTTTCATTGGGAGTTGCCAAAAAACGTCCCTGCGGTGCGTCAGCATGTTTACGTCTTAACGACACATTTTTTTAAACAGTAACCTTCGAAAATGTAAGTTCGCAGGAATAATATGCACCCTACCTTTGGTCTAAATAAGGCTCAGGCCGCCTATAGGAAATCTCCAGAGCTCCACTTTGATTACTAGCCTCTGTGTCTTTGTAGACTTTGTATCAGAGCTCATAATGAGCACTGTGGGCAGGTAATTATGTGTATCTTTACAAGCAAAAAGAAAAAAAAGTCTTTCTTGCCTGTGGGTTCGTTTCTATGCATGTTCCTTAGATCATCCTGAAAAGATTTTACCAGTCTTATCCCTGTGGCTTCCTCTGGTTTGTCCATGTATTAGACCAGGTGAGGCCTCGTTAGAGGCACGGCTGTTTTTGTTCAAATCCAGTAGTTAGAAGATGTTTGAGATAGAAAGAGGCAGAAGTTAAAACTAATATTGATTGCCAAGCAACTAGCTGAACTTCCAGCCAATAGGCATCTGCTTTCTATAAATTACTCAAGCCACATAGGAGCCAAGTTAAAGT